TATTAATGGGTTAACACATAAAAATGTCAAATTTACAGTATTTTACAATAGGTTTTTAAGTGTACATTAATAGCACATTACTGGCAAGTAATTTGCATTACAGCAGAATACTGTTAAATTGCAGTAATCTGATGACATTAACTGTAACTTCACAGATAAATACAGTAGTTCTACAGGAGCATACTGCTAAATCACAGTAATCTGATATACATCAACTGTAACTTAACAGTTAAATACAATAATTCTACAGGAGCATACTGTTAAATCACAGTAAACTGATATACATCAACTGTAACTTCACAGTTAAATACAGTAATTCTACAGGAGCATACTGTTAAATCACATTAATCTGATATACATCAACTGTAACTTCACAGTTAAATACAATAATTCTACAGGAGAATACTGCTAAATCACATTAATCTGATATACATCAACTGTAACTTCACAGCTAAATACAGTAATTCTGCGGAAGAATACTGCTAAATCACAGTAATACGATGGAATCTTAGACAGTAAGTTACTGTGAAAGTAATGTAGCTCGTTCACAGTAATTTACTGTAAATTTACATACAGTAATTTACTGTGAAAGTAATGCAACTAGTAGCCAGTAATTTACTGTGAATTTACAGTCAAATAATTTACAGTGTACAGTAAAGTACTTTAATTAATTTGTTGTGGTAATTCTACAGTTTATGTGGTAATATAACAACTATAGTAATATAAATTACTTTACCCAATACTGTACTAAGTTTTCTATAATTATAGGGTATATTATACTACAATACAGTTTACGGTAGTAAAAAAACTAACGTATACTACAGTATTTATTACAGTTTATCAGTTAACACTACAGTATGCTGTAGCATTCATTAACAGAGTGTTGTAAATACTATAATATATACAGTATAATACACTTTACTATAGTATGGTTCAAAAACACTAGTATTTACTATAAATTACTATAGTATTTTTTCATGTTGGAATGTTAACGTTGAATGATAATTGGAAATGAAGTGTCATAAATTATATATATATATATATATGCATACATATATTTTTTTAATAATGTCTAAGTTAATACTTGTTCAAAACAATCACTAGCAAAGTCTGTACTATTTTCTGCTTATTTTGAAAAATAAAAGAAGTTATTTTTGTTCTGTCATTAAATTTAATACTGTCATTAAAATGTTAATATACAAAAATATTTTAAAATACAGAAACAAAATTATTTAAAAAGTAAAGATTCTGAAAGCATTGAAGGATATCCCATAATAATTTAATATAGATTTACAGTAGTAACAACAAATTATATTTGATTATATGATATGATTAATATCATGTTTTTCAATATGATGGTTTCATTCTAATATGGACACCCAACATAATATATGATATTTACCATCTGAATCTAACCAAAAGTCAGGTCAGCCATCTATTAATTATCATGTTAATTACTGCGCCTTTAGCCCCAACAGCTAAAATCATTAAGAAGACCTTTGCCTCAAAATATATGCATTAATTTTAGCGATTCTCATTTGCTACTTAAATCTACAACATTTTAAAAGATCAAGTAAGCACAAAATCAACTTAGCTGATTTTTCAACCTAGTTTCTGTCTCCCCTTGATTGTGTCATTAAGTTCAGGTGTGTCTTGTCAATTATCTTCATTTGCCAATGTATATGTCCTATTGTTCTACATGATAATTTGTTTATTTATATATACATATGTGTATTTTATTTAGGCTACACCTTATTTTTTATTATCTGTGTGTTGTTGTTGTCTCTGTGTACTGGAAGCTTGTGACATTAAAACAAATTCCTTGTATGTGCAAACATACTTGGCAATAAAGCTCTTTCTGATTCTGATTCTGACAGAGATGGGCATAAATACATGACAATGTATTGAAAATAAAAATAAAAATAAAATATAAATTAAAAAACATGGTTACAATAGTTAAACCATGGTAACCACAAAGTAACCATGGTTTTGCCACACTAACCATAGTTTAACCATATCTGTGGTTATACAAATTGTATAAAAAAAAAAACATTGTTACTACACTTTTACTACAATAAAAAAACCACTGTAATTTTCGTAAGGGTTGGAGAACAATTACTCCATGTCGCCCCCTGTTGTTTCACAGAATTTTACAACAGCGAGCGAGCCAAGTATAAAAGCCTCGTCCGTTTAGGCAGGCAAGAGTATAAATAAGGATTCAACTAGTCTCAGGCTCGGATGTCACGGCCACGAACCGTTGGCTGAACGTCTGATGCATAGATATGTATATACCTGTCTATGGTCTGATGCATATGGCACACAAAATTAGAAACTCTTCAGGAGTTTCAAAGTCGTCATCTGATTGGTTGGAATTCTACTGGATTTCCGGGAGATGTTTGTTTCACGTTCTTTAACAAACATAAGGAAACAAAGATGCCGTGAAGCCAAACCCCCACATGGAAGAACAAAGCCCTTGTGTTTACAACTGTGACAATGAGCGCTTATCAGAATCAACTAATCGCTGGATTTTTAAAAGTATGTGAAATATGTGAAGTTTGCGGCATAGACTCTTTAAAGTACATCCAAGAGTTTTACACACTGGTCTTTTATTGTGGCAACATTTCCACACCCATAAACATGACAAGACACTAAACGAAATCCGATTAGTTGCTTTACCTGTCAGTCATGTGGTCTCTTGGGCAGTTAGCCATTCAAAGCGGCCAAGGTTCCCAGACCTTCTGCCGTCAGTCTGAAGGTCTGGCTAAGCGAAACTAGGCTTCACCTGCACAGAATGCTTCCACTATGAGAGAAAGCAGCAGCTGTGCTGTGATTCCACCGCTTGCCACGTCACATGTGAAAGGGCCTTTAGACCAAAAGTATAGGCCTACTTGCCGGCATTCCACTCTGTCATGGAGTGTGCACCAAAAAAAATAAAAAATAAAAACTGCCTGCCAACATGCGAGTGTAAATTTGAATTTCTATTCGCGGCATAATAACACCAAGCACCTCACACTCAGAGCGAGAAGGGTCTGGCTGCAGCCTCGCACTTGCATTCTCAGACTTGCACTCTCAGACACTTGCGCTTCCGCTAGCGACGTCACTTGCAGGCTTTATTTTTTATTTTGTTCTATTTTTTATTACTTTTTGTTTGAATCTCTCAACATTTTACAACAGTAGCCAGGTGGTGAAGACAAGAAAAAAGAAACTAAATTACGAAGTCACTTGCACTCTCCGCTACCTGCGACGTCACTTGCAATCGGACACAAATGGTGCGTGTTGCCAATGGAGAGAAGATGCTGTGGTGGGGATTAAACGATTAAAACTAATTTAGTACTATAACATACAGGGTCCTGCAAGAAAAAGACAAGACCCGCAAATCCGTGGCCACAGAACAGCAGAATATGAACGCATG